GAATTATGCCACTTCCTGAGTGTTCATATTCATTCCATACCTGGAAATGAGGCTGTGTGAGAATGTGGGCGAGCTCAGCTGCTGTGTCAGAGCGCTGTGTGAACGGGTCCAGATCTCTGAGGATCTCCTGCAGAAGCTCGACATTGTTCTCCCTCACTGGTGACAACCGGGGCTCCTTTGGGCTCTCCTCTTGTTCCTAATGCATTCATCAACAGTGGCAGATTTTGTTAATTGGGCTAAACAATACAAATGTCTTTAAATACATACATACATCTGTTTCAAATATTCATATCTGAGTGTAAATCCCACCAAAGGGCTTTCCATGATGCCTTTGAGGTAGATGAGGTCCAGGTCATTGGCAATGGTGGAGCTGGTGGTGCTGTCACTCATTGTGTCCAACCCCTGGGGAACTGACACAATCATATACAGCAGCAGTGCAAACATTAATTTAGAAGATAGAAAACTTCATAGAGCATCAATAAGATTAAAAAAGTCAGATGCACAGAGAAGAGTGTTTGGAAAAAAGAAGGAAGAACAGATGATGGTGATAAATGTTGACATGAGGAATGCAGTCGGGTCTCACCAGGCTCTGTCCTGGTGGAGGCCACAGGCATGGCAGAACTTCAGGCAGTCTGAGAGACAGAGAACAAACAAACAAAATCAATGCAGTAAAATCAGTAAAGTTTTAGCAAAAAAACATAAGAAAACAGCGTTTTCATACCTTGGAGTTCCTTAAAGGTAGAAAAATCCGAATTACAAAAATTCAAGTGCATTTTACGTGTTTGACCAACTTCATAATGTATAAATAAGGATAAATAATAATGTATGTTTGTAAGGGAGAACCTTCTGGTTCAGTTTTAAACAACATCCAAAGCTTTAAACATCTCCCAGAACAATGCTAATCCATCACCTGAACACGATGAGTGAATGGACCCACTTTAAGCCTAAAAAGTACTGTAAGTACTGCAAGTACTGTATCTACACTGACTGGCTGGAATGATGGCACTGAGACCCATGGTCACTCTGGAGGAGCTGCAGGATCACCTGCTCCGAAGCTGCTCATAGGAAAGCACTCTGTTAGACTCCAATTCAATTTAAATCAGTTTATTTATATAGCGGCAATTCACAACACATGTCATCCTAAGGCACTTAACGGTTCTTCAGATCATACAGTCAACACACACAACGCTAACTTTCGGGATGAGAAGCAGGAAGTGCTAAACAAAACCCAAAATAGGTTCACACCATGGAGAAGACCATGAACAGATGAGATAAGGGCTGTTTCTATCGATTGTATATTGATTAATCTATCGATCAATTTAGTAATTGATTAATTAATCATCCTAGTAATTGATTAATTGATTGGTTATTGTATTAACGGATTAATCTGTTAATCATTTTAGTAATTGATGCATCAATCAAGGATTTTAGTAATTGATTATTTAATTGATAATTTTAGTAATTGATTAATTGACCCATAATGTTTTTTTATTAATTCATTAATCTAAAAAGAGATAATTTTAGTAAATTACAATAAAAAACAACATATGAAATACAGAAAAAAGTGCTTTATTGCACATTTGAAATTAACTGTAAATGGAAAGCATGTAACAAATATTCATTCATATACATTAATAATATAAATATATTATAAACATTCTGTATTTATACATGATTTTAGATTATAACTAGAATTTTGTCTCAGTTATTGCTGTAATTAGGTTATTATTTTAAAACATGGTAAGTTTTAGAGTCTGTGTGGCATTAATCTGTGTAAAGATCAGATGGCGATTAACTCAATGATTGATAAATCATAATTAATTCAATGAATCGATTCAGCCTGAGAATACATCAAAGCTTTTTTTTGCCTGCGTAACAATTGACTGAAGCAAGTTGAATACAAAAACATCCCTCAGTTGACTTTTATTATTCCTTTTATTATATCCTCTTCACCTTCTTCCACTTAAATATGATGAATCTCTTTCACTAGAAAATAAAATCCTATTTGATAAGGTTTATGGTTTCAAGGTGAAAGAACAGTTTTCAGAATGCTGGATCTAAAACATCAGACAATGGTGGAGCTTTGGAAATAATCTAGATTAACCTGATTTAACAACAGCCGGGCACAAGGATTTTTCTTTTCTTTGGTCAGACTTATATTAAAATCAGAAGAAACATGTTTCTTCTGGACAAGTGGAAGAAACTGGAAGAAAGTTTTTGGAAGAAAATCCAAGTAATAGATTGAAACTCACTATATCCATCAGGCTACATAAGGAGAAATCTTTATGAGAATAAAAACAGACACAAAGAATTTAGAATTTCTATAATTCATTAAGTGTATAAAAGCATGAATAAATATTGGTCAAAAAACCAACCAAGTAACACTTTATTTCCACATACAGAACAGCAGCAATCTAGCAGCAAAATAGAGTTCAACAGTCCAGTTCAGTAAACATTTTCGAATAGACTTAAAATGGTGGCAAAGGCCCAAGGGGTGGATAAAAATTCGCCCTCAGTGCTTTAAAGCTCTGGATGTTGTGGGGCTGTGCTGGTTAACGTGACTTTATAACATTGTGGGGACTTAAGGGGCAGTTCCCCTGGATTGGCAGACTGGGATGCTGGTCCCCCTATTTAAAAAGGGACCAAATAGTGAGTTCCAACTACAGAGGAATCACACTGTTCAGCCTCCCTGGTAAGGTCTATTCCGGGGTTCTGGAAAGGAGTGTCAGTTAGATAGTCAAATCTCGGATTCAGGAGGAGTAGTGTGGTTTACGTCCTGGCCGTGGAACACTGGATCAGCACTACACCCTCAGCAGGATCCTGGAGGGTGCATGGGAGTTTGCCCAACCAGTCTACATGTGTTTTGTGGATCTGGAGAAGGCATTCGACTGTGTCCCTCGGAAGGTCCTGTGGGGGGTACTCCGGGAGTATGGAGTACCGGGCCCTTTAATAGGGGCTGTTAGATATCTCTATGACCGGTGTCAGAGCTTGGTCCGCATTTCTGGCAGTAAGTCGGACTTGTTTCCGGGTTGGACTCCACCAAGGTTTCCCTTTCTCACCAATTCTGTTCATAACTTTTATGGATAGAATTTTTAGGCGCAGCCAAGGTGTTGAGGGGATCCGTTTTGTTGGCCTTAGGATTGCATCTCTGTTATTCGCAGATGATGTGGTTCTGTTGGCTTCATCAGGGCGTGATCTACAGCTCTCACTGCAGCGGTTCGCAGCCGAGTGTGAAGCGGCCGGGATGAGGATCAGTGCCTACAAATCCGAGACCATGGTCTTGAGCCGCAAAAGGGTAGAGTGCCTTCTCCAGGTTGGGGAGGATGTACTGCCTGTGACAAAGTGGTTTAGTTTGTG